CCCGCAGCCCTCAGACCCCCGGCGAGCGAGGGGGCGGCGGGAAGGGAACGTCCGTGCTGCCGCCGCCGCTGCGGTCCGGTAAGGCTCGGTTTTAAGGCCCGGAGAGAGGTTTAGGCCTTCAGAGGGGGCGGCGGGAGAGGCCGCGGAACCCTCGGGGCTCTCCCCCGAGGGTTTTTCCCGGTGGCCGGCGGGCGCTGCCGGGAGTTGTAGTTCGGGGGGGCGAGCCCCTGAGGCAGGGGAGGGGCTCGCGAAGGGTATTTTAAGGAGGAGATGGTGATTTAGGGAGGGTTTATAGGCCCTGAGGGATTCTGGGGTTGTATTTTAGGGAGAAACTTTGATTTTGGGAGCTTTTGGGGTATCTGAGAGACTCTGAGGCTCCTGAGGGGCTCAGGGGTTGTGTTTTGAGGGTGAAATTTGTGATTTAGGGGCCAGTTGTGGTCTCTGAGGGGCTCTGTGGTTTGATTTTGGGGAGGTTCTGATGAATTTGGGGGTTCTGGGGTCATGAAGGGTCTGGGGGGGGTCCTGGATTTTGGCAAAACTCTCTTTTGCCCCCTCCTCAATTCTGTCTTGGGGAGGGTCACTTAACCCCCTCAACTCTGGGAAATGGGGAAATATTTTGATTTTTTTCCCCTGTTTTTTTTTTGAGAATTCTTAGTAAAATACCCCAAAATGCCACAGAAAAGCTTCATTGGTGACCCCAAATTAATAATTCTTATTAGCTGATTATACTTTTAATTAATATTTATTTATTTCCTCCAAGTGCTCACCAGAGATTTGACACCTTCAGGCTCAGGTAAAGATTAAATCCTACACAAAACCCGCTAAATGTGCCCCAAAAATCACCCAAATTGCCTACACAAAACCCCTGAAATCCTTGAAACCCCTAAAAAAATTCAGACTCTACCAAAAGCCTAAAAATTGCCCTAATCCACCTGGAAAGCTCCAAGTAAATGTATAAATACCTTTAATTTACACACAAGAAAACCCCCAAAACACCTCCAGAAGCCCCCAAAATCAGCCCAGACCCTTCGAAATCTCCAGACTCCCCCTCAAAAATTCCAAAAAATGCCCCCAAGTCCTGCAAAATGACCACAGACCCCCAAACCTGACCCTTAATGAATCTGCCTCTATTTAACACAGGGCTTATTATGCAAATGAACCTGTGGTGCTTTTGGGGGGTTCCTTTTCCTTTTTTTCTCCTTTTCCCATATTCTCATCCCCTTTTCTGACTTCTTCCCCCAAAATCCAGAGCAGAGTCTGTCCCTTGGGCCCATCACTGGCCTCTCTTTAATTAATCCCTCGTTAACGAACTCTTGGCCTGACCTAATTAAGGGAGGAGGCTCCCAAGGGGGCCCCAGAGCCCCCTGACACCATTTGGGGGTCTGGCTTCGTTTTTTTCTACAGAGTTATTTTATATTTTTGGTAGTTTTGGTTTCTTTTGGGGGCAATTGTTGGTTATTTTGGGGGATTTCTTTGTTCATTTTTGAGATTTTTTTTTTTCCTGACATTATTTTTGGAATTCCTGTTAAGAACCCTCCTCTTCTTCCTCCAGAGCTGGGAATTCTTTAGGAATTTTCTGGGAATCCCTAATGAAGGAGCCAAATTAATAAGGGGGAGGGTGGAGCCTTCGCTAATGAGCGCCAGTTAACGAACTCCGGCCTTTCCTTTGGGGAAAAATCCTGGGATTTTGGGGATGTTTTCCCCCTCTGGAGCATTCTCCTGGCCGTCTCGGAATCCCTAGGATTCAGGCAAGTGGGAATTTGCTTGGATTTGGGAATGTTGACAACAGCTTTTGTTTAATTAGTGTTAATTAAGCCGGCGCCATCAGATAAAAGGCGCTGCAGGGCCCAGCATTATCCCGGTTTTTCCACCTTTTTTTCCTTTTTTTCCTTCTTTTCTCACAACATTCCCCTTCCTCATTAATTAGGATTATCCTCCTTTAATCACTCATTAATTATTCCCAAAATTTTCAACTCTTTATTTAATTAAGTCCTTAATTTCGCCCTGTTATTGTCTCATTCGGCGTTGTTTTCCCTCTTTCCCGCAGCTTCAGTCCCACTTTTTTGAAGGTGTTTCCTCCCAAAGAACTCTTGAAATGTTTTAACATGGGAAAATGATCCAGCAGGGATTTAGGAATAATTAAGCCTCATTTAGAGCTCATTAACTTTTAATTACAATGAGGTGGGGCCGTGCTTTCTCCTCCCCAGGGCTATGCGGGGCATGGAAAGAGTTAAAAATTCCTTGCATTTATCAAAAAACTTGGAGTTAATTATTAAAATCATCCCTCCCTTCTGGAGTGAGAAGGACCGGATTCAGCTGCTGTAAATTTCCACCTCATGAACATCAGAACTGGGTTTAAAAATCCCAATTTTGGGGCTGAAAAAACCCAGTTTTAGGGTTTTTGAGGAGTGGAATCGATCCCTTGGGAGTTGTTTTAACCTTATCTCACTTTCTTCATCCTGAATTTTGCCTCTGGAGGTCCTGGATTTTGTTTATCCTGGGAATGTGGAGGGATTCAGGGATCTGGGTATTCCAAAAAGTGAGGATTTGCTTGGGATGCCTCCAAAACCCCCAAAAATTCAGCTGTGTTTCGATGGAAAAATCCCAGAATTTGGTGATTTTTCCCATTTTCCACTGGATTTTCCTCCAAATTGGGCTCATCCAGAGGGAAGGAATTGTTTTGCTCCCATTCCACACGATCTTCTCGAGGGATTTCATTCATTCCCAGCTTGGATGGTGGTGCCAATTTTGGGGCAAAAAGTTGGAATTTCTTCATCACCAATGCAATTTTGAGCCACCACAAGGAAGTTGTAATGATAAAAAATTCCCATGGAAAAATTTGATTTTTCAGGAAAAGGGGCAAACCTGGCTCATTTAAGGTGGGAAAACCCAGGAAAGGCAATTCCAAAGCCCCAAAATTGATGGATTTGACCCCAAAATTGGTTGGATGGATTTTATCCCAAAAACATGCTAAACCTGGAATGGGAACTGCTGGGGAATTCCAGGAATTGTCTCCCATGGGATAAAAGGGATTTTGTGTTCTTGTTAGGCTGTGTTTAATTAAGATCAAATTAATTAAGGCAATCAGGGATTGATGGGAGGGCCCTGCCCACCCCCTGGGGGGATCAGCTGGGATTAAGTGGGATAGGTTAATTCCCATCCCAGACAGATCAGGGAGTGGGTGGAGCCACCGGACACTGTGGATCCGGAGCCATCCTGGGAAAACCCCGATGGGGAGAAGGTCTGGGATTTCAGGATCGGCCTCCAAAGGGATAAATGCACCAATTCCAGGGTTTTTGAGGAATTTCTATGGGGATAAATCTAAAAATTCCAGATGAATTTCCATGAGGTTTCCGTCAATTTCAAGCTTTTGAGGAATTTCCATGGGAATAAACCCACCAATTCCAAGGTTATCCCACAGACCCATCCAGGGCTACAAATCCCCACATTCCAAGCCCTCCTGAGGTCTCCAGATCTGTGCGGATCCAGAATTGGAACTGCCCCAACCATGTCAGCTGATGTCCCCCAACAGGGCACCTCCCTGGCTCCCTTTTACCCTAAAACCCAGGAAATCTGGGATTTTTTTTTTGAATAATGCATCCCACTGATCCTCTTCTCTCACCCCCAGGATTCTGATGCAACCCCAATCCTGACATGCACAGGCGCCGCGGGATTCGCCTCGACCGCACCTTGACCACCGCGACGTCTGAATCCATGTCTGGATCCGCACCTGTCCCAGCTCAGCCATGAGTGCCCCTATCACGCCTTTCCCATCGGGATCATGAATTCCCAATGCAGCGATGCCGACGGCTCCACGGCCGTGCCGCCGCCATTCTGGGCCCCCAACGTGCCCAAAATGGGCGTCCGAGCCCGTGTGGCCGAGTGGCCGCCCCGCAGCAGAGATTCCAAGGATTCCGCCGCTTCCCGAGCGTTCCCCNGAATCGATCCCTTGGGAGTTGTTTTAACCTTTTCCCGCTTTCTTCATCCCGAATTTTGCCTCTGGAGCTCCTGGATTTTGTTTATCCTGGGAATGTGGAGGGATTCAGGGATCTGGGTATTCCAAAAAGTGAGGATTTGCTTGGGATGCCTCCAAAACCCCCAAAAATTCAGCTGTGTTTCGATGGAAAAATCCCAGAATTTGGTGATTTTTCCCATTTTCCACTGGATTTTCCTCCAAATTGGGCTCATCCAGAGGGAAGGAATTGTTTTGCTCCCATTCCACACGATCTTCTCGAGGGATTTCATTCATTCCCAGCTTGGATGGTGGTGCCAATTTTGGGGCAAAAAGTTGGAATTTCTTCATCACCAATGCAATTTTGAGCCACCACAAGGAAGTTGTAATGATAAAAAATTCCCATGGAAAAATTTGATTTTTCAGGAAAAGGGGCAAACCTGGCTCATTTAAGGTGGGAAAACCCAGGAAAGGCAATTCCAAAGCCCCAAAATTGATGGATTTGACCCCAAAATTGGTTGGATGGATTTTATCCCAAAAACATGCTAAACCTGGAATGGGAACTGCTGGGGAATTCCAGGAATTGTCTCCCATGGGATAAAAGGGATTTTGTGTTCTTGTTAGGCTGTGTTTAATTAAGATCAAATTAATTAAGGCAATCAGGGATTGGTGGGAGGGCTCCTGGGGGGATCAACTGGGATTAACTGGGATGGGTTAATTCCCATCCCAGACGGATCAGGGAGTGGCCGGAGCCGCCGGACACTGCGGATCCGGGAAAATCCTGATGGGGAGAAGGTCTGGGATTTCAGGATCGGCCTCCAAAGGGATAAATTCACCAATTCTGAAGTTTTTGAGAAATTTCTGTGGGGAGAAATCTAAAAATTCCCGATTTTTTGAGGAATTTCTGTGGGGAGAAATCTACAAATTCCAGATTTTTTGAGGAATTTCTGTGGGGATGAGTGTAAAAATTCCAGATTTTTTGAGGGATTTCCACGGCGATAAATCCACCAATTCCGACCTTTTTTGAGCGATTTCCACAGAGATAAATCTACCAATTCCGAGCTTTTTTGAGGGATTTCCACGGCGATAAATCCACCAATTCCGAGCTTTTTTGAGGGATTTCCACAGAGATAAATCCACCAATTCCAAGTTCATCCAAATCCCCACATTCCGAGGATCCCCGCGGATCTGGGATCGGAACCGCCCCATCCCCCAATGGGGCACCACCCCGGCTCTCTTTTACCCTAAACCCCCGGAAATTGAGGATTTTTTTTGGGAATAACTCATCCCACGAATCTTTTCCTCTCCCACCCAGGATTCCGACGCCATCCCGACCCCACCATGCGCCGCGGGATTCACCGCGACCTCGCCGTGACCGCTCCAACATCCGGACCCGCTCCAATCCCGGCTCGGCCATGAACGTCCCCATCACCCCTTTCCCTCCGGGATCATGAATTCCCAACGCAGCGATGCCGACGGCTCCGCGGCCGCCGTGCCGCCACCATTCTGGGCCCCCAACGTGCCCAAAATGGGCGTCCGAGCCCGCGTGGCCGAGTGGCCGCCTCGGAGCAGAGATTCCAAGGATTCCGCCGCTTCCCGAGCGTTCCCCGCTCCGCAACAACAACAACAACCCCTGGCCGGTTTCAGAGCCCTTCACCGCCTGGCGCGGCGGCGCTCCAAGGATGTGGAATTCCAGGAGGGATGGCCGGGAATGCCGGCGCCGCTGCGGCAGCGGAGCAGCAGCGAGGTGACGCTGAGCGAGTGCGATCCCGAGGAAACGGCGGAGCCGCGCGGCGGCGGCGGCGCCGGCCTTTTCCGCGAGTACGGCAGCACCTCGTCCATCGACGTCCAGGGCATTTCCGAGCAGAGCTTTTTTGACATGCTCAACGAATTCCGGACTAAAAAACCAGATCGGCGAGCGGCCACGCCGGAGCGGCTCGGCGATTTTGTGGTGGGATCACATCCCGGGATGAAGCCGGAAAACTGGAACGGCCCTCGGGATGAGCTGGTGGCGCAATCCAAGGAAAAACCGCGCCGGCGCTGCCCCAAGAGCGACGCCGGCGGTGAATCCATCTTTAAAAAACTCCGCAGCGGCCGCACCGAGGGGGAAACCAAAGATCCCGAGGAACCGCGCGTTCCCGAGCCRGGAAAATCTTGGATGTGCCGGAAAAGCTTCGCCCACTACGACGCCCAGAGCATCCTGTTCGACCTGAGCGCCGCCGCCCTGCACCGCGCCGCCGGCACTCAGCGCCGCAACACCACCACCGGCGCCTCGGCCGCTTCCGCCGGCTCCGACCCYGCTTTTTCCAGCACCGAGGACCTGAATTCCAAGGAAAACTTGGAGCACGACGTGGGGGACAACACCAGCAATGAGCTGCTGCTCAGCTGCCCCCAYTTCCGCAACGAGATCGGCGGCGGCGCTGGCGAGCGCGACGTAAGCTTTTCCAAGGCGGGCTCGCCGGGATTTCCTGGATCCGAGGGGGTTTTTCCAGAGCCCGTTCATGCCGGGAGACCCACGAATGCCGGGATTTCGGTGCTGGAAGTGCCCAAGGAGCAGCAGAGGAATCCCGAGAGACTCAAGCATTACAGCGTGGAGCACGTGGATTTTGGAGCGCGCTACTACCGGGATTATTTCCATGGGAAAGGTGAAGGATAGGTTGGATCAGAGAGGTTTCAGGGAGTGGGATCCTCTTCCTAGTCCCCAAATTCCTTAATCTCTATTTTTGAGCCTCCCCAACTTTCCCCATTTCCCCAATTCCCAGCATTTTTTCCTGAATTTCCCTCATTTACCCTCCATTTCCCTCCCATTTTATCCCACTTTTGACCCCTCCCCAATTTCCCATTTCTAGTCAATTTTCCCCCATTTCCCCCTCATATCCTCCTCATTTCCAAATTTTCCCCATTCTTCCTCCATTGCCCCCCTTCAATTCCCCATCACAGGAAGGAACGGGGCAGTGACCCCTCCTTCCATATCCACAAATCCCCCCGATCCCGCTTTTCCCGCCCAGAACATTCCAACTATTTCGGYGTGGACGACAAGCTGGGCCCAGTGGCTGTCAGCATCCGTCGGGAGAAGCTGGAAGAGCACAAGGAGCACGGCCCCCAGTACCAGCACCGCCTCATCTTCCGCACCAGCCAGGTCCCACAAAATCCCTCCCCAGCACTGGCAAAATCCCATCGGGAAAAATGGGAGGGGTGCCTCCGTCCAGCTCCCAGTTTTGGGATAATAATCCCAGGTTTTTGGGGTTTTACTGTTTTTTCCCAGCTGGTGACTCTGCGTGGATCCATCCTGGAGGATGCCACGCCCACCACGGCCAAGCCGGGCACGGTGCGGGGGCTCCCGCTCCGGGATGTTCTGGAATACGTCGTTCCTGAGCTCAACATCCACTGCCTGCGCTTGGCCTTCAGCACGCCCAAGGTCACGGAGCAGCTGCTCAAGCTGGATGAGCAGGGGGTGAGATTTGGGGCTGGGGGATTCTGAGAGTTGGGGTATCTCTGGGATTGCGGGAACCCCAAGGGTTAGGTGATCCCAATGGTTGGGTGATCCCAAATGTGGTCAGGGAATCCCAAGGGTTGTATGATCCCAGAATCTGAATGATCTCAAGGGTTGGTTGGATCGTCCCAAGGGTTCAATGGTCCCAAAGGCCAATCCCAAGACTTGGCTGACCCCAGCAGTTCCACAACCCCAAACTTCCCTTGGACCACTCTGCCATTACCCCTCCCTCAAAACCTCAGCAACCCCAAAGCCCCCCAAACGCCCGATTCCGACTCCCGTCCCCTCTTCCCGCAGCTGTGCCGGCGGCTCAAGGTGGGAATTCTGTACTGCAAGGCCGGGCAGAGCTCAGAGGAGGAGATGTACAACAATGAGGAGGCCGGGCCCGCCCTCGACGAGTTCCTCACCCTCCTGGGTGAGAAGGTTTCCCTCAAATCCTTCACTAAATACGCAGCACAGTTGGACACCAAGAGTGAGTTTGGGGATCCCACCAGATCACTGGGGCGTCGCCGGGATTCTGGGATTTCACCGGATCACCCCTTCCCTGCTCTCTCCGTAGCGGATTCCACCGGCACACACTCGCTGTATACCACGTACCAGGACTACGAGATCATGTTCCACGTGTCCACCATGCTGCCCTACACTCCCAACAACCGGCAGCAGGTACTGCCAGCATGGCTCTGGGGCACCCCGGGGATTGGGGCATCCCAAGGGTTGGGGGGTCCCAGAATTTGGGAGATCCCAGTGGYTGGGGGGTGCCAGAATTTGGGGCACCTCAAGGATTGGTTGGTGTCAGAATTTGGGGCGTCTCAAGGATTGGGTGATGCTAGAATTTGGGTGATCCCAAGAACTGAATGATCCCAAAGCTTGGTTGGCCGATCCTAAAGATGGATCCCACCCACTCCCACTCTTTTTTTGCCCAAAAAAACAATTTCCAGCTGCTCCGGAAGCGACACATTGGCAACGACATCGTCACCATCATCTTCCAAGAGCCAGGAGCACTGCCCTTCACACCACAAAACATCCGATCCCATTTCCAGCACGTCTTCATCATTGTCCGGGCCCACCACCCCTGCACCGACAGCGTCTCCTACAGGTCAGCAGGATTTGGGATCCCCCTGGATCCAGTGGGGTTCGGATTGGGAAAAGATTGGCCATGGAATCCTGAGAATCCATTGGGCTATGGGAATGGGGTGGGAGGAGCTTCAGGAAGGTGGGAAAGGGGTTGGAGGAGGAATCCTATGACATGGAAGGGTCGGTGCCAAGATTTGGGTGATCCCGAGGATTGAAAGATTCCATGTGTTGAAAGTGACTGGAGGATCCCAGAAACTGGCTGATCCCAGAAACTGGCCAATCCCAAAGCATGAATGACCCCCAAGCTGGCCAACTCCAAAATTCCCTCCATCCCAAAATTCCCTCCCAACCCTCCCCAGCGTGGCCGTCACCCGCTCCAAGGACGTTCCCCCCTTCGGCCCCCCGGTGCCGCCATCCGGCGTCACCTTCCGCCGCTCCGACCTGTTCCGCGCCTTCCTCTTGGCCAAGGCCATCAACGCTGAGAACGCCGCCCACAAATCCCACAAATTCCGCACCATGGCCACTCGGACTCGCCAGGAATACCTGCGGGACCTGGCCGAGAACTACGTCACCAACACCCCGCTGGACACGGCCGGAAAATTCAACCTCATCTCCTTGGCCTCCAAGAAGAAGGAGAAATGCAAAGCGCGGCCGTCGGCGGAGCTGGAGAGCGCCGGCGCCGTTTCCTGGCGCGTCTCCGCGCTGGATTTCGGCCGCGGGGCGGAGATCCCGTGCGTTTTGGGGATTTCTAATGAATTTGTGGTTTTGATGGATCTGGGAGCTAAGGAAGTGGTGTTTAATTGTTTCACCGGGGATGTGATCGGTTGGAGCGCGGAGGGAGCGGCGTTGAGGATCTACCACGGGCGCGGAGAT